AATTAAACAGATTATGGATTTCCCAATCCAATAATCACTGACAAAATACACATAAGTGTATCTTCCTCCCCCAAGTCTTGAAGAGAAGCCACACAGTCCATGAAATCAGACAAGCCCAACTGTACCCTAGATGAGCCACAAAGACATAACATCGCGCACGGAAATATCTGTCTGGTGTCTCCATTATTAGATAGGTGGGTATCAACTTAAATTCTGAAAAGTGTATATTGTACATATGGCAATAATGTTTAACTATTTTTTTTTTTTTTTTTTTAAAGCAGTCTTTCAAAATAAGTCATTACTGCTCCCGACTGGTCACGCTGCATCTGTGCTGGAAGTCACCACATTGTAGTGAGGCTGGCAAAACAAACGTGTGCCACATTCTCGCCTGCTGCAGTTTGTTGCTTCGTGTATTCAATTAAGCCAGTACTTACAGTGACCTGAGGTTAACATGCTGGGCTGTAAAATGGCACGCATTCACTTCTGCTAGCTCTGCTACAGCACAGTAACCTTCTGTGAAGGTACAGGAAGGGCAGAAAGGGCTAACTTAGGGCAAAAACCAGTTACCACTAGTCCTTTGGCACCATACTTGCAAGATGTCTGATTTGCTAGAAGAGAATGATAAAAAACAGCACAGTTGTATTTTATTTTACAATACCATGAGGCCACACTGTCTTGGTTTACTACAAGCATTCCCTCCTGAATCCTAATTTGGTTTTGTTCAGACTGAATACTAAATGTACTAAACACAAGTAAATACCTGCTCCTGGAATGACTGTTTACAGTAAAGGTAAAGACCACCGATTTCTTGCCTATAAGCATTATGAAGAAGATGGTCTCTCCTAAGAAAACTGCAGTTTATTGCCACTACAGTAAAGAGTGTGTGAGGAGTTCTCCCTCCCCCGGAGCTGCTGCTTGCTTTTGCAGCTGAGGCAATATAATAACCAGGAACTGGTATGTTGTAATGACCAGAAGTCAAAATGACCAGTTTGATTATTTTTGCATGCATGTGAGATTGAACTAAACTAAACTAGTTTTTAAGAATAAAAAGGCCGAGTCTTTTCAGAAAATAATATGGATTGTTAAGTATGCAAGGGCAAGTTTTTCTATTTCTACTGGTAATTAGACACTAAAGACAAACCCTAAATAATCAAGGTATGCTTTTTCCTAAGGTGGTGTTTTGTTTTGTTTGGGGTTTTTTTTAACATGGCAAAAATCAGTGAATATTTCATATTCTAAGAAGGTATTATTGGAAATTTTGTTTCTTTTTTTTCTTTTATTTTTGTCAGGATACTGTTACTGTACCACCAGTGAAACCATACAATTGGTTCCTCAATCAGGCATGGCCTGTAGCTCCTTAAGCTACATTTACTGAGAAAGACTGTACGATGGATGGTTCTTCATGGCAAGTCTTAGCTGAATTTGAAACAGGAAACATCAATATGAAGCCTCATTTAAAAGCAGGACCAATTAACAAGACTACATCAGATATGAATTCTCTATACAAAATTATTTCTCTTCACATCAAGAAAGGAACATTTCAAAATAGCAATGTATCTTCTCAGCTGATTTTACTGATTAGCCATTACTGAAGATAACTGTCTCTGAGTACCATTTTAATCTTCACAGCAGAGCCTCTTCTTTGATCTAAGGAGGTGGGGTGCAGAAGGAGGGAGAAGAGAAGAACTTAACAAGCAAAAGAATGGTTTATAATGACTCTTTAAAATTACTGTGTTGAGTACCATAGGAATATGATTGTCTCAGAAATAACTGGGATAGCAAATGTGGACAATAGAAATGTCTTGACCAGTGTGTAAAAAGGAGCAATGGAAAACTCAAAATACATTAAAGATACATATTTCTTGCTAGTAATCTTTTTAAAATGCTTTCTACAAGAAGCTGTAATTAGAACACAACATTTCAGTGCAAAATTCTGAACTACTAAAAAAGTAATACAATAAAGAAGTTTCCCAAGTATAGTGGTGGTCTCACTCAAGCTGGTTAGAATGTTGCAGGAATACCTAGCAACAGCCTCAGGTTCTTTGTCACCCTCCACCCTAGCTAGCAACAATTATACCAATGTGTTTCATTAAAGATTTTACATGATCCACACAACCAAGGAAATTAAAACACAGGACAGTTAATTCAAGCAATACAGCCTTCCTATTGAGTTAGCTGGAATTCATGTGTAGGTATATCAGAATTCAAAATATTAAATGGGATGTTTCCGTATTTTAATGAACTTGCATCACACCACTAAATTAAGGCTGAGGCTGTCCTCCAAACACATACCTGCACATTTCCAATTGCAAAACCAGCATGCTTGAAACCCCCATTTAAGCATAACATTTAATCAGTAAATTGCAGCAGCTAATTTCAAGAGTCTGAGGAGTAGGCTATTTGTGCCTTAACAGGCAGCCTGTTTATTGCAAACCCATACCAGGACGTTCTTGCTTAGTATTAGAGTACTTGCCAATCACTTTCTATGGCAATGTAGTTTTAGAAACAACATAAAAATACACGCAGTATCATGAAAACAGGAGCCTTCCACACCTATCAGCACTTCTGCAACTTGAGTAAAACAAACATCTAAGTTACCAAGAGCTGTCTGTACACAAATCTTAGATATCATCCTTAGATAAGAACAGATTTTTATTCCAACAGTTGCATTATCATCAACCTGTACTTTGTATAACTAATTATCAATCCAACTCCGAAATAAATTCAAGAGAAGTTACTAGAAACTGAAAGGTGGTTCTTTGGTTAAGCATGTGCTTCTGCTACTTTGAACCTAGTGCCTCACTGTATTTATGGAAAAGCTGTTCAAGTATGAAGTTTCGACCTAAAACCCCACTTCCTATTTATAAAAAGGATCCATTTATAAAGATCTATTGTGTCAAAATACTTCAAGAAGCAAAACAAAAGGCCTTAACTGTCACCAAAACTGCAATTTAAACAAAATTATGTATGGATGAAAAGCACTGGAGTAGGTTAATACTGTGACCTAAGCAACACACCATTTCAGGAATTTAAGAACTGTTTATTATTAAGATATATCTTAATATGTAACATATACCTTATACCTTGTCAAGATATTTGTCCAGAGTCTTACAAAGGGGAAAAAAAACCCCTACTAAATTAAAACAAAATCCACCCTCTCTCTCTCCCTTTCCTATTTGGAAATAACCTTAAATTTGTTTGAGAAGTTAACTGAACTCAGCCACAGCATCTGAAAACCAACATTAATACAATCCCCATTCAACTACTTCCCATTACTGGAAGCAGACCTGACAAACATGCATTACCTTTGCCTGAAAACACTTAAGGCCTTTGATTAAGTTTAGTTGACAAGATGACTCCACTGGGATGATGGGTAAACAGCAAAATACTATCAGATTTCACTGCAAGTGAGGGCAAGATTTAAACTATTTGAACAAGGCCTCCTATTTCAATATAAAGAAACCCACAATTAACAATCTGCATGTCTACTAATATCAGGAAGGTATTAGAAATATCAGTCCCCAACAACATTAAATTTCAGTGCATATAAGAGGATAATATGTAAGTGTTATTGTAAGTTACAGATGATAGTCAAAGCCTCTAAAGAAATACTTTGAGGAGCAGCAAATAATTATATTCTACTTTCATTGAACAATGAGTGGTTTACACCTTTTTTGCCACCAGATTAACTGAGAATAAATATTTTGGAATTAGCTTTCTTTAAAGCTACTACAATTTAATAACACAAATAATCCAATAAATAAAAGCCAAGTTAGTAATTTCAGCAGATAAGATAATGACTCCAGTGGATATACTTGTCCTCTTAATCATTCTTTTTAGGAAGACAGGTCTTCAAGGTCTTCAACAAGGCAGTTCAACTGTGTTAGTATGCAAAGCCATGGGAAGCAGACATTCTCTCTTGAGGAGGCAAAGTGCACAATAATGTAAGGCCAGCAGATGTTCAAGAAGTGGTTTCTCCTAAAACCCAAGCTATGCTTCCCTGTGCGCTGCCCCTAGGCACAGCTGGAAAAGGATAGAAGGCCATGGCTGTTGTGAACTCAAGACAGAAGACAGCAATTCTCTCAGGCTGAACAGGTGCAGCATAGCACCTTCATCACTCTGCAGCCATTTTCATCTCCTCAGGACTCTCTCTAGGTGACCTAGGGGGCAGGGGAAGGAAAAAGTAAGACTCAAATCTGTTGAGTGATTACAAGTATCTTGTTTCCTACAAATGAAACAGGAAGCAAACACATAGGCAGATTTTTGTGTGTACTGTGGGAAGCTCTATCTACGGTGTATACAGGAAGTCTTGGAACGTAACTTCTACAAGTCAGAGACTACAGACAGGTCCAATTAGTGGTTTTTCTCCTAAGTACCCATATGAAAGATGACAACATTATTAATGTGAATGAAGCAAAGGATTACTTCTGACAAGCACGGAATCCTCTTTAAGATAAATGCATAATGAGCTAATCTAGGTAATTTAACAAGACAGTAGATACTAAAATGGCTACTGTCATTAATAACTTCACAATATGATTTCCAACTCTAATTAAGTATTCAATTGGGAGTTTATTCATCCCATTCCTTAACTGTACAGTTTAAAGATACATTTCTATATTCCCCATTTGGTAACTTCAATAAATAGATTAATCAAAATAATACTTTTAATGGAATAATGGCATATAATGTTATATATTTTTAAAATTCAAGTATGTTTATTTATATTTTGTGTGCAGTACACAAATTTATGTGTTTTTACACATAAAGACACAGTATTTGCAGGCAAGCCTCTTATTAAGGACAATGAACACTGACTATTAGATATCCATGAATAATAGTTTTACACGGAAAAAAGCATGTTCAATCATCTCCTAACAAAATGGTAACAAATTATAGGATACAAAGGTATTTTCAATGAATTCTCTAAAAAAGCCTTCTGTAAGAAGCTGAGAGACATTAAACAAACACTTCAAGTTTACAAATTCCAGTCAGTATTTTACTTCACCATAATCTTTATTTCTAGAGTATAGGACAGCTGAATCCTCTCCAAATACTTCAATGTCCATGTAGGTGTGTATGCACACTCATATATCATGCACACATTCTCTATACCTATGCACAGGCACACTGGTCCATGCAAAAACATACTGCGTGCATGTAAGGCATTTACTTACCGGTAAATCTGTAATGGCCATGATGATTGTGATGGAGTGGGCACTGAATTTGTTGGACTCACCAACATGGCACTATATATGTTGGAAGCAACCACAAGTATACAAAGTAGAATTGGTCCTATGATGGCTCCTTCCAGTCCCAGGTAATACGCTCCACCAGCTACTGCAAGACCTGTCAGGTAAGGATGACCACCTCTGGAATTATGGCACAGAAGAATAAGATTACATTAACAACAAACAACAATACTATCAATTATGAAATGTGAATTAATCATAAGGTTCTATTAAGCTTAGAAAATGGCATAACTAGCTATAGATACCCACGTTTACACTATAAACTGCTGTTTGAATGACTGCACAAATACTCCAAGCTGTATTCTGCACTATATTTGCACAACAGATCAAACAAAGTTTATTAACACAAGTAATACCCACAATGGAGTAGCTACTTCATGGACATCTGCTAAAGAACGTCTGAAGGAGACAATGGCAAAAACATTTCCATTTCGAAAATGGAAAGATGATTGATTACAAAGAATGTTCATGCTTTATGGCCAGGAATTGTTAAATTTTAAGGTAACAAGCAACAAGTATTAATGAGCGCCCCTGAGCAAAGACATTAATTCACATGACGACAGCAACTTGCATACTCTTTCGAAGAGTAGTTAGCTTGTATTCTTTAAATAAAAAGTCATGTCTTCTCATTTTGTTATCAAATCACCTCTCAGATTGAGTGTTTATCATTAGCTTTTAATGTTTTCAGATGAAAAACAAGATCAGATTTTATGAACATATTAATATTTACTGGAAAGTTGAGGCCAGTGGAGCTTTTGATAAGAGCTATTATGGCAACAAGTAAGCCATTCCATTTTTCTTTTCCATATTTCAATTCAGATGCATAACACAAATTCTATCAACACCATTTACACAAAACCTGCTCATCATCCTTAATCTTCATGGATAAAATAATGATGGTAATATGGAATTATATAAGAAAAACTACAGTTGAAACTCAGCACCCAATTTTCAGGAAGTTGCTCTAAATTCTTAGTGTACTAGAGTGAAAATACCAGCTAGTCAGTTTAGAGCTTCTGCACTTTCTAGCTGGTTTCTATCATGGTCCTGACTTCTACCCAGCTCCCACATTGGCAGTCTTTGCCTTCATCACAAGCGAGTGCAGAATGAGATCATGAAACATGACCTATTACATCATACATACCTTGATTATTTCTTACCTAGATCAAATTTAACCTACTGGTAGGGCCAGATTGTTTTTTGAGGGGACAAACTTGACCTTAAAGTTCTATGTTTCTCCAACAGTAGATGTGATTAATTTCTAAACCTTTAAAAACTTGAAATAGTTTTTTTCCCAGCATTTGCATCAGTTTAAATGTTCTTCTGGCTAGTTTGCTAAACAACAGATCACCCAATGAAATAGGACTACAGGATAAATTTAATGCATTTGGAAAACCCTGCATAACCTAATTACAACTATTTCAAATAGATTTAATCTAATCTGCAAGACAGCGTGATGCTTACTGTTCTATTTAATGGGAAGAATACAATTTTGCTCTACCATCAGAAAATCTATTCCCGCCACATGTATTTTCTGGACAGTAAACAGAGCCTGCATTCCCTACAGTCAAAAAATATATCCTAATAGGTAGAAGAATTATTGGCTGGTTAAATAGCTACTAGCCTTAAATTTATCCACGATTTACTGTTGGAAAAAAAAATAGTAATTTGATTATACTTCTCCTGTTAGCTTTAATTAACGCAAAATAACTAGTGTCACAGTCTATGAAAATTATTATTTATATTGTACATATTATCACTAGGTTCTCTCTGTTCAGTGTAAATTAGATTTAATGAACAAAAATATTAATTTTTAACTTAACGCAGAACTGAAACACCTAATGTCCTTATTCTACATTAACTCCACTATAATAAAACACAGCACAAATGAGGGACTGGTTCCAGCATGTAACTAAGTTTGGACCATTAAGTTCTCAACTCAAACATTTTAGTAGGATTGTTGTCGATGATCAAGACAGAAGCAGTGACTAGAGGAGTACATCTTTATATCTTTCTTGTACATGGCTGTGAACATGTCTTGCACATATGAAACTTGACGGTTTGCATCTTTGCCTGCTCTGTTAAACAGCACTACTTGAATTTATGCATAAAGGGATTCAGTAGATATCTGAGCAGCAGAAAATGTCAGTGGACATTTCAGTTCCATTCCAGATATGGAACTGAAATGTCGACTTTGTCTCCATAGTTTGGAGTTTGTTTCTCTGTGTACAAATTCAAAGCTGAAACCAGGAGGTATTTCAAGTCAATAGAGGCAGCCAAGCACCCAAGGCAAGATTTTTCAAGAAATCTGCGCCTGCCTCCCACAACAGGAAAACAGCCACCAGCTACTGTCTCAGTAGGAGCCCATCTCCAGTTTCACAATTTCATCTGTCTCAACATATTTAAAGATCAATCCATAATCAATACATTTTTACACTGGGGGTATGGTGACACAACACAAAGGCTGGCTTCAAAAAAATCCTCAAAATTCTCACAATCTATTCTGAAAAATTAAAGTATTTTTTCAGGTCCCTAGCTAGCTCATGGATTTCTTGTTTGTTATGGAGCATCATCTGGCATTAGGTGATGTAAAGGAAAATGCTACACATCTTTAGTCAATTATTAGATAAATAGCAAAGGTATTCTTAGATTTACTTTACTAACTGAACAATTGATTTTGCTGACTTTTTAGAACAAGTTCAAGATCTCTGAAGGGACAAAATTGACAGAAAAGAAGCCTGGGAAAGTACAGGGACTTAGGCCTTACTTACTAGGAGGTGGTATCACTACATTTATTCCCACGCTTAAAGATACCGTTCTTCACGCATCAGAAAAGTTTAATTAAAGGCATCGATGATTGTTAAGCACTTTTACAATACTAACTTTAAAAACTCTTCAGTGTACTTACCCTGATATATCTGAATAAATTGCTGTATCTACAAAATAGGTTGGCAAGAGGTGAAAAACCAAGAGCAAAATGGCTTTGCATCCCTGTCCTTGCACAAGCCACAAATCTAGGACTGCAGGGATGGCTGCCCAGTATGTCCCCAGAAACGGCACTGCTCCAAGGATCGCTGCTAATGCTAGAGCACACAGAAGCAAAGGTGAGGAAAAGACCAGAGGAACATATTTCACAAGTATATTTACAGTTAAATTCTGACATTTTTGCCACACTGGTGGCAACTTCTGTCAACTACTGTAAATAAGACACTGAAGAAGTGCCACATAAGGCTCCTCGTGTTTTATAGCTGCAGTTTAGGAAAAAAGAAAATGACACTGTTCCCCATACAGAAAAGCTTTACCAACTGTCAGTCATAAGGAGTTACTTCCAAAAGAGGCACCAATTCAGAAAAATTTAAAGTTATACCAAACATGCACATTTCAAACTTGTACATAACTACAAATTAGCAACTGTGTGCAAGACAGTGTTCAAGCAGAGGTCTCACTGTCACACACTGGATCTCCTGCAGTCAGCCACAGTAATGTAGGTAGTACTGTGAGAAACCAGGCAAATATAAAACCCATGACTTACATATTTCTGTATATACACACAGATGTACACCTTTCTGATTACACAAATACCCACTGTAATCTGAAGTGGTGCAGTACTGCTCTCATTCTAATTTAATGCAACAGGAATGATCATAATACAAAAAATATTTTTTTCCTCTTTTTTGATCTCATTAACCAGAAAACAAAAACTTAAGATTTTGCACGTAGCTGAATGAAAAAGAATTATCACCTTCTAAGTATGTCTAATGACAATCAGTGCCTTTAAGGTAGTTGCACTTTATAATACAGCCATTTCCTATTATAATGGTTTTTGTTGATTTATAGCTTCCCTTTTTGCTCTCTCATACATGAAGGTACAACTTTTTTTTAATTACTGTTATTATTTTTAGAGGAAAAGAGGCAAAAGAGGAACAAGGAAGAAGATTTTTAAGTTAAAACTGTTCAGTCACTTCCAAAGCTAAGATGAAAGAATAACAGAAAACCAAAGGCTGGTAATACATTCAGGCAACAGTACTGAGAATAAGAAGCATGCCTCTGTCGTGCATTTTCACGATACCACATCTTCCTGCATTTAGGCATCTTGAAAAAATCAGCACCTATCAACTATATGGAAGAAATAAAAGCCAGGGCAGGCAGAATGAAGTTAAAACCTGGAAAGACTTGTACTGAATAGAAGAGAGAAAGCATTACATCCAGCAAAAGAAACAGATAGGGGAAGTAAAATAACTGGCAGGAGATATGTTGTGAAAACAGAAAAAGGCAAGGCTCAGAAGTAACACAGCAATCAGGAACTTCTCTCCACCCTACCCATGGCCATCCTGAAATACTCCTGGAAAAAGTTTTCAGTAGTGCTACATACATTCACAGTTGGAACTGAAGATTTTGAATCTATGAGCCATGAAAAGGCATACAGTCTTCATAAATAATTAGATTTATGGTAGTTTAAATTAAACTTGGAAGAATCAATGTTAAGAAGTTCATTGGAACCACAATGCATATAAAAAAAACCTATTAAATTTGTAATAGTATTTTCATAGTGGGATTTGAACAATAAAGAGGGAATAAAAATGAGGTTACATATTGAACAGGAAATAATAAAAAAATATCTGAATAGCTAGCTACTCATTAAGCTCATACCATATACTGAGTTCATCAACACTCAGGTGTTATGACAAAAAAGTAGCCAATCCTGTAATTGGAAACTGTCTCAAAATATTTGCACGAATTAACCATATTAAGGTTGCCTATGCAACTCTAATTCTGATAGTTGCCAGCTTCTGATTACATGTTCTCTAAAATAACTTCAAGACTAATCTTATCAGCAACATTTAATCCTACTAATCTTGTACAATAAATAATTATGTAATATTATCTATAAATAGATTATTATTGTTCAAATTCTTACCAGACGGTATGAAGACTATGTTAATCCCAAATATAGTGTGAGTCAGCCAAGTGTACAGTCCATAGAACCCAGCCATTTTGAGGGAAGCATCAAATACACCTCTAAAACAATCAAAGAAACTCTGTTAAATTTCATTTGCAATAGAATTCTGGGAACTATAAAGATATACACAAGCTGCTTTGAAAAACTGCAAAGCCATTAGTGCCACAAATAACACAACTCAAAACATAACACTGAACCCTTTATGTATTTGTTCGCTATGAAAAGAATAAGCATCCATCACATCTGTCATTTAAGGCATTTAGACACAAAACCCCCGACTGTTCTTCACTGTACACTGGGTTCCAGGGATAAACTCCTCGAAAGAAACTGCTCAAGCATCAGACCACATCTCTATCAAGAATAACCTTTTATCTATGAGAAGCAGTACCATTCTACATATGAACTACTTTTTTTTTCCCCCTCCACTTTTACCTGTTCATTCATTTCCTTTATCTGCCTACATTTCTATATCTGCTCATTCTCATCAGATTAAAACCATCCAGAGGGACTTGGACAACCTTCAGAAGTGGGCTTGTGTGAGCCTCATGAGGTTCAACAAGGCCAAGCACAAGGTCCTGCACCTGGGTCGGGGCAATCCCCTGTATCAGTGCAGGCTGGGGGATGAAGGCATTGAGAGCAGCCCTGCAGAGAAGGACTTTCAGGTACTGGTGGATGAAAAGCTGGACATGAGCTGACAATGTGCAGTCACAGCCCAGAAGGCCAACCATATCCTGGGCTGCATCACAAGGCGCATGGCCAGCAGGTCGAGGGAGGTGAATCTGCCCCTCTGCTCTGCCCTGGTGAGACCCCACCTGGAGTACTGTGTGGACCTGTTGGAGCAGGTCCAGGGGAGGCCACAAAATGATCAGAGGGATGGAACACCTCTTCTATGAAGAAAGGCTGAGAGAGTTGGGGTTGTTCAACCTGGAGAAGGCTCCAGGGAGACCTTATTGCGGCCTTTCAGTACCTAAAGGAGGCCTATAAGAAAAATGGGGACAGATTTTAGCAGGGCCTGTAGCAATAGGACAAGGGGTAATGGTTCTAAACTAAAAGAGGGTAGAGTTAGACTTGATAGAAGGAAGAAACTTTTTACAATGAGGGTGGTGAAACACTGGCACAGGTTGCCCAGAGAGGTGGTAGATGCCCCATCTCTGGAAACATTCAAGGTCAGGCTGGACGGGGCTCTGAGCAACCTGATCTAGTTGAAGATGTCCCTGCTCACTGCAGGGGGGTTGGACTAGATGACCTTTAAAGATCTCTTCCAAACCAAACCATTCTATGATTCCAATTCACAGTACAGTCTCTTTTATGTGCCAAAACAGTTTTTACAATTAATTCAGCTAGTAATTATTTTTTTGCTGGGTTGATTTTAACTAACTAGCTCAGCTCAATACGCCCCATCCAACTCATAGAGCAGTGGCATAAAAAGCTGCGTTCCCACCAGGAAAGAAGCCAGCACACTCATGGCTGGAAGGCAGGAACTCTTCTTTGCACAATAGTGCTGGTTTATCCCAGCTGAAACTAACAGCTACTGTCACCATAACTTCAAAACCAAATAACTCATTTTCTTCCTCCAGACACCACCAAGATCTGTTGCAAAAGACAAGCTACCAATGACAATCAAACGACAGCTGTTATCGTAAAAGGGACTGGAGTACTCTTCTTCTATAATGATCCCCCAAATTTCAAGTGATCACTGGAAGAACACTGAAGAATGAAATTACTAAAAAATGACTATTTTTGCAAAAAACCTCTTAAGCTGCTCTTTGACTCTCTTTAAGGGCTCTGTTATTTTAGGAATAAAAGACCCTCAGATATACTCTAGCTATGCATAAAGCAGAAGTGGCAATAAGTGGTTTTTTATAGAGTAAGGTCATTTTCAGGAGCAATATAAATACAAAGATGATTTTCAGAAACGACTCTGTGACACGATTTCAACCATTTTGCTGTTGAAATTAATTTCTCCTTAGGAATGAAATAACTGAACAAAGAGAGGTAACACCTCGAACATATGGAGGCTAGTAATGAGACTAGTCAAATAAACTGATACAGCCTTGAACAAAGCACAGGTCCTTGAGATGGTGTAACTGATGCAAATATTACACCTTCTCAAGGCAGGACAGGGCTCCAGTGACTGCATCAAAACTTCAGACTTTTAAACAGTGGGAACTAGTCTGAAGGACACACTTTGTGGAACTTTGAGCAAATGAACCAAATTCTCTCTCCACCTCCACCCCTTTCTCATCTATTGCTATCTGCCAAAGTTATGATCCTTCTGTTTTGCTCATTTAGCTAAAACTTCAGCTTTTAAAAGGATAGTTTCTTGTTTCCTGTGACCTTTGTTACTTTGCTGTTCAGCTATGCAGTCAGTTTTCCCTTTAGCCTTACCCAAGCCTTTCTTAGCAGTTGGCATGCACTGGCACAGGACGTTGAACATTCATTATTCTCCACACCATTCGTAAGAATATAATACTTTTAGATCCTCATTTTAGCTTGAAAAATTAAGGAATGAGAGCAACACCTAGCTGGACTCAATAAAGCTCGAGATCCATTGCAGTCTTATATTAAGAAACTGCCAGTCTGCTCACATTATTACTATTATAAAATTGTGAATCACAAGCATAGAGAAGAGGGTACTGTGATTGCTTATAATTCAGCCTAAAATGACAAAAAAGGCAAAATGCTAAAGCTGTGATATTAAATCTTTGAAACAACGGGAAATCCTGAAGTTTTGTATCAGCCTTCATGCTGTCTTCTTGCATTAAAACAAATCTTTAAAACAAATAGCAGAAATCTAACCAAGGTTATAATAATATATACTGCAACCATAAATACACACATAAAGAATTATTAGATATGCAAGCATAGAATCTTGCAGTATGTTATACTCAATGTATTTCTCATAGCATCCCTTTATTCTTGGAAATGCCTGACAGAAGATCTCTTCCCTATATATTTAGTAATTATTTCAACACCCCTTGTCTTTCCATCCTTTGAAGTTAACTACTAGGCCTGCCTTAGAGGCAAAGAGAAAAACTACTTGGCTGAGCTGAATTCCAGGTGCAAGTAAGTGTCGCTGTTTTTACTTACACAGTCTACGTCACATACCAAGTAAACTTTAATTCAAATAAAGATTTTAAGTTCTGACATGCAAATAACCATTTTGAAAAGCTGGTATTGTAGAAAAAGCAGTGAATATGCATAAGTGCAGTAAATAATTAAAGGATTAGTATCTAGATGCAATGCAGCTACATTATTCTTAAAGATTACATATACATCTGCTTATGTGTTTAAATGTGCCTGTGGGCACACACACACACAATAACCCACACCCTCTATGTATTTACAGATTACTTCAGTCTTAAATAAACCGGACAGTGACAGAATTACTTACTAGAGAAATGCACTACGAGAAATTGCTGTTAGAACAGCCAGAACGCACCATCTGGAATACGAAGGCAGCAAATGGCAAAATATTGGCATTCCCTGATATAAAACAAGGATGCCCTCAATAACCCGTCAATGTGTTTGAAAAATACGCTATACCAGTCTGCATGGTGTAGAGAACAGAACTGTTTGTTTCATCATCAGATTATGCACTTATATAATCTCGTGAATTATGGGTAGTAAACTGTAAAATTCCTACAGACTTCATGACATACTTGACACAAATTGCGTGTGTACAATAATGAACATTTTTCATAATTTCAGGTAAATTTGGAAAAAGATTAAATATGAGCAAATCAATTATATGCTGACATTTTATTTGAATATCTGTTTTTCTTTGAATTATGCTTTGAATAACTTTTTAAAATCATGTGTACGTAAAGCAATATACAGACAGCTGTGTTTAATAAGAACAAGTATTTTCAAAATAAAAGAAAAAGGAAATAAGGATAACGACAATTTTCTTTTTATATAGGAGAATATTTAAGACTAAAATAGTGGTACGAGCGAGTCACATGGTTATTGCTACTAAAACAATGAGCTGATAAATATTACTATCTATCCCACTAGGATAATCAGGTTACAGTCACTGTCAGTTTGGTTCTGCAAATGTACTGAAACATCATGGCATCTCTTCTAGATTTACAGACTACATTCTACTTTTCCTTCAGTTATTCAACAGCAGCTTTCCTTTCCTCAGTGTTATTTCAAAAAATATAAGTATCTGTTATTCCCAGTTTTAGCCTAGGAAATTATTCCATTAAGACAGAATTATTTTCAATTCTATTCCCATCTCGTAACATACACCATAAGTAGAGCTTACAGTAAGGTCCTGTTAAACGCATTCCTGTGACAGAAGAGATTTCTGCAAGAGATACTCTGGCTACTAAAGAAAATATATTGCATGCAAAAATTCAGTCAAAACATAATCAGTTGACAGTTGTCTTTGAAAAATGAATCTGAAAGACATTATTAATGTTGCAGTAAAATAAACAAGATCACACATTTTGCTTTTTCTAAGCATTAGCTTAACATGCTGGAAGATAATTGTTTTCTGTGGGAATTGTATCACCATCTCATTTTCTCCATCATTAGTGCCAGGATGCCACAGCAAAGCAGCTAGCTGCTTAAACAGCTGAGATTTTTTTTTTGTTTATTTGTTTGTTTGCATGGTAGCTCATTTCAGACCTCTTTAAATGTTAATAAATAAAAGCTGAAATACCAGTAAGAACCTATTTCAGCCGTCAAGGCACTACAGGTTTTCTTCATATCAAATCTCTCTTTGACTTTCTGGCAAATTTCAATTAAATACATGATTACTATTTCCTCTTTAGAAATGTCTAATATTTTACATAACTTTTATATAACCTATGAAATATCTGATCAAATGGCAAATGAAGAAAATGAAGCAAATAATGATAACCCTTCTCAAACTGAAAACAAACAGTACTCATCTTCCTGGAATTACAGAACAAACTTCCACTAACACGTTTCAAGGCATCACTCAAAATACTGATCTGGGTTTAAGACCAATTTCACGATGTAATTAGGCCCCACCAAAACTGAAAGCTGCAGGAACTTTAAGCCACAGCCATACCCGTGTGCATGCACT